ACCTCTCCACTGTCGCTACAAGCATACTTAGTGTGAGGGATTGCATTAAACTCAATGAGTCGATGAAATCAACTGGTTTTCCTTCCATAGAAAACTTTCCGTTTGACTGGATGATCTGGTGAACTGTAAAGTGCCTTGAGATGACATGTGTTGTGAATTGGCGCTGTATAAATAAACTGAATTGAAATGTCTGAAAAGTCGGACACAGGCGAGAGCGTATCGGGAGATGGAGACCAACAAGACCTCCCTCATCCTTGGACCTATCTGAAATAATTTTTAGAAATAGTCGAACAATTGAGCTTTTAATTCATATTGTGGCATCTGGCTGTTTTTTTTAAAGGTTACTTTATACTTTTATGATTTAAGTCGTTTTTGGAGCACATACTTTTTCACTTTTACTTGAGTAAAGAGGTCAAGTTGGTACTTCAACTTTACCAGGGTGTTTTTAAACTTCAGTATATTTACTTCTACTTAAGTAACAAATGTGTGTACTTTTGACACCACTGCTTATGCCAGATGCTTACTGGTTCAGTTGTCCTTACAGATACAAATTTGCCACTGTTTGTTGTAGCTGAGCTCTAATGGTACTGAAATTTCCTAAAGCCGCAAACGCACCACTTTAAACGATACAGATTCTGCCTTGATTAGACTAGCGAGCATCACCTGTGGCAGCCGTTGCTAGCCAACCGCCATTAAACAGAAGAAGAAGAAGACGACCTGTGGATGGGGAGAACCAAGAACTGAGACGTTGAAATGCAAAATATGAAGGGGAAAAATAACGAAATAAAAGTAATTGGCTACTTTGAGTATTACGCATTGTTTTTTAAGCAAACTACGGTAAACTGAAAATGGACTTTGGGTGAAGCTGTTTCGGACAACCAGCTGACAAGCTGCTTCCAGGATTCCTCACTAACTAGAAGGCTAGGTGAGTTAACCATACCATTCTCTCTTTCCTGGCAAAACTGGTCCTAATAACCACTTTTAAACATAGTTTGCTAACTTTAAAGATTAGCTTCATGACCTTAAGGCCTAAACATAGCTACTCCATACAAATAGAAAGTGCTGTAGCAAGAAAAGTAACTTCATTCTTTGTTGTTAGCTTGTTCAATGTGCTCTTTTATTTTTGCACTGCACATACAGTAAACAATATTTACTGTAATATTTACTGTGAGACGAGGCCTCATGAGGCATTGAACCGTTTGGCCATATTGCTTCAAGGATCCCCACAGTTCAGTGATTTTTTTTTTTTTTTTTTTCTCTCAGAATCTGTTTGAAAGATAACTTGGTATGAGTGCAGCAGATGTATTAAGGTAGATTATTCCAAAGATGCAAAGAACTATATATTAAAGCATTGGCTTTCGGACCCGGTAAAACAAGCTGCCCATTACTGGAACCTCTAGTGTTGTGATCATGAACTACTAAAAACAATTTGTGAATGTATAAAAGCTGGAACATTACTACTCATGACTGACTTAAATGGCATAAGTATTTTAAAAAGCAGCCTATTCTCAACCACAAGTCAGGAAAGGCAGCCATGCATCTGCATCTGGCAGCCATGCAGCCTAGTAGCAACTGTGCTGCCTTGTTCTGAGCAACATTGTAACAAATTACATGATTAATGTGGTAAGATCAAGTGTGGTCGGAAAATTTAGATTTCTCTTATTTGATTTATTAATTTATCCTATTTACTTACTATAAAAGTTTTCACTCAGTCTCTTTCACCTGCAAGGCCACACAATTCTCATGTGTAAGGGTGTTTGTAGACCAGACATGGCTTCTTCCCAAAACAAGCCAGATTCTTTCTCAAGGATTATTCATAACAAGTTTAACCAAAGTTACCGTAATTTGTTTTGACCCTGACTACCTCTGTTGTTGTAAGTAAGGGGAACATACTCTGTGCAGGCAGAACAGGGCTGAATACAGAGCAGTAAGGGCTGTATGATAACCTGTTCTCTCTTTGCAAAGATATGAAAATAAAGCGCCGACTGAGGGAAATCCATTGATCTCCATTTATTTAACTGGGGTGAATAGTTGAATGCTTTATTCCCACTGAAACAGTCTACCATCGCTCCAAAGAGCTGGAGACTTTCAAGTTGTTGAATCATCAAGTCACAAATATTCTCATCTGAACATCCTGGACTGCCAGATGTTGGCCAGCTCTTTAAAATCTGGTTATTAAAATAATAAAGGATAAAATTGATATTCAGTTATTCACGAGGGATTACATCTTCCAGCATATTTTAAGTTTATACAGTAAGTGTTGGACTTGGTGAAGCTTAATATTCTATTTCTCTTCTTTTTCTCACTTTTCGGTTGCCTGACAACAAGTTTAATATTTTATTAATGTGGGATGTTAAACAGAATGGGCAGTGTTCCCTGTAGATGGCGATAAAAGCTATTAAAACTGTATAGGGATTTGCTCACCTTTTTAAAGCCCACTATTATTTTTTAACACATACTCTGGTTATCCCTATTCCTACTCTGAACAGTTGAATATATATATGTGCTTTGATTCACCTTTATACACCCTAGCAGTCTGTGGTCCTTATCATTGTTGTTTCTTTCCACTGAATGACTGAGTTACAGGAAAAGTTGGTGGCTCAAAGTTGGTTAGATTAATGATGACGTTATGAATTTGGAAAACATTTATTAAACATCCGTCAAAAAGACTGATGGGCTGAGGAGCTGAAAGGACCACACTGCATAGTGATGCCGATGGCTTATTTAAAACGCTAAAGGAGAATAGTTTCTGATGCCCCCTAAATGTTGCGCATAATGTTATATCGGCATTTGATGCATCGAGTTAGAAGCTCATGCTGAGCATCACTTGCATTAAAATTCAGTTTGATCAACTCTGATAATTCATTTCTACTCTGGTGGGACCATTGCCACAAAGCACAAGTGGCCATCCAGTTATTTGATGAGCACCATAATTATTTTAGCCATATGCCAAGGCTTTCCACAGCACCTGATCCGATTCAGACACCAGCCAGGGATGAATCTGAGCCGAGGGCACTGTTTGCTGCTGACAAACCATCCTTATTGACATTTTCTCTGGTTTGCTGTTTGCTTCTTTTTCTCTCCCTGTTTTCTTTAATCCTCCTCAACTTGGCTATTCCACTCGCGCCCACCCCACAGACCCCCACCCTAACTCACAATTTTCTCTTACCCTCAACCCCCACCCAGTTCACTTGATTATGTCGAGCCAGTCGGGGAAAGTGTCACTATGGAAACAGGGGCAGAGGCAGTGTCTGTGGAAGACGGGGAGAAAGAGATGAAGGAGAAAGAATGGGAGCTGGTCGGTGCAGAGGAATCCAGGGGTGGTCATCTGCTGCAGAGCTCATTTTTTTTAATTTAAGGAAAATAATAAAGGTAACAAATCTGCTATTCAGGAGTAAGTGGAAACTGTAGGAGCACCACTGGGTGGTGTATTCTGATCCAATGAACCTTACTGTGCTTTAAGTGCTCCTTTGTTTCTGTAGGTAATACTGCACTCTCCACAGCAGATTTCTGTCCACTTTGCATGCTGTCCTCTGGATTTTTAAAAATTCACCACATGGTGAAAGTCTTTTAATATGAATGCACTCTATTTTAGCTCCTTTAAAACAGAATTTTTGAATTAATATCAAGCTGATGTATGCCTAGCTTCAGTTCATTTAGGCACTTTATCTAAAGTAATGAAAATTGGTAAATAAAATATTTATTTGAGCAAAACATTAAACTCTTCCAGTTTCTGCCTTTTGATGGTAGTTCAGATTCAAGCCTGTTAACCTTGAGTTAAAATCCGTTTTTACATAGAAAATTAAAGCAAATGTATAGTGTTATCAAACAGCTTTCTTCACACAACAGAAAGATAATACTTATTAATCAGTTATTATGCTCATTACGTAGAAATGTAGCTTATTCCATTTGGTTTGTGAAACTCTAACACATTTTAAAATTGAATTTGGTTTCATAGATTTTTCTTTTTAATAGAAAGACTTTTTAATAGGCATTATGGCCATTTTTTACACATTTATTAATGTTAACATCTTAGTGATTCTATCATGCATTATGTGTACCCCTAAAATGCACAACTTTGCATGATATGCTTTTAAATACCATCTCAAACAAATTTAAACCTTATAAATTGTGCGGTACAACAATTGCTCCCTGACTAAAGGGGGATGGGAGGCACATTAGGTAGTTTCTCAACTGTTAACAGTTTGGCGACATCATTTTTAGTGTAGATCATTTAGTTTTAACACAGACTGCATAGAGAAACACTTTCAAAATAAATCAGTTTTTCTTTTACCGTAAGTTGGCCAGGGCGTGAGGCATAGAAATAGGTGGATGAGGGGCTAAGTTTCTTTGTAGATCTAGAGAAAACTCACTTCAGCTTCACTTCTCTAGCATCTCATTAAAAGTACTTTAACCTGTAGGGATGGTCTAATTTGCCAGGCTTTGGCCATCATCTCATACATTTCCTGCCAGTGGGCTTAATTTCTGCTGCGTAGGGCAGTCTGTTAATGCCTTCAATATCATCCTGCCCTTATCTTACCTGCGAATCAGTCTTGCACTGTAGTTCATGACATGCATGAAATAAACGTACTCGCTGAACGGCAGTGTGTAGCTGCAGATTACAGGAGGTTGGTTATCTCTTTAAACTCTAAGAGCATTTTGCTGATTTTTTTTTTTTTTAAATGTTTTAGTTTGAATCCCTCCAAAAATAAAAATGACTATTTTAGCTTAAAGGACCCAGAGTGAAGAAACCGGTATATCATATATTTTCCTGTCTAACACCACAGTTTAAAAAATTGCTCACATTTTAGCAACCCTAGACGACTCGTTTACAGGATGAGTGGTAATGTAATTAAAGCAATTTTAACACTAAGTTTTTTTTTGGTGCAGGAGAGGGAGGAGATGATGAAGGGAGCAGGTTAGAAAAGAGAGGAGGAGTCTAAGAGGAGGGTGAAAGAGGGGGGAGGGAGTGGGGTATGATAGTGAGATGGGCTGAGACAGAAGCAGAACGATCCAGAGCCAGAGAAGGAGCAACTTCTCCTCCCAAGTCTTCACTCTGGGGAAGACGCAGAGAGAAGGTGGCGGTTCCGCTTCAGCTGTCCTGAACTTAAAACCATCCGCTGCGAGGTACGTTACCTCTTCCCTTTTGTTCCCCCCAATCTTTACGAAGACTTTGTGAATGTCAGATTTGTTTTGCAAAGAACCTGCCGAGTTTAAGCCTTTTCCAGTAGCAGTGTCTCTCCTTGTGTGTGTTCATGTGTAGATGGATAAAAATGGGGTCTTGTTTGTCAAGATGTCAGTAGCTGCTCTGCTGAGACACATTTTCTGTGACATTTAAGGCTGGATAACATTTCCTGCAGTCATAGCGCTTTTTGTCACACTGTGACCTGTTGTAAGAGTTTATCTGTTCAAAAACTTCAGTTAGAGGGGTTTTTTTGGTAAGAAAAAAAATAACTGACCTTAAAGTCCAGCAATACTAAAGCTAAATTATCTTTCACCTTATTTGAGTTATTGATCTTGTTACTTTTATATCATAGTTTTCCTGAATCAAGACTGCTGCTTTATGTGACCAGAAAAAACACACTTTATCTAATGAACTGCTTGCTAACAAGCTGGTTCTCTGACCCTGGCTTTACAGAGTATCTGTCAGTAGTTCTCCTCATTAGTGCCATTAAAGGAGGTTTAATGTTATAACACACACTGGTTGTATTGATCCGCAAACCTGCTCCCAAGGGGGCTATAGGAGACAAACTCCCACTCTTCAGTTCTGTTTTACTCACAGTAGATCTAATTTCAGAGGGAGATCTTCCCAGCGTTCAGGTGCAGGGATTGCCTTTGTTTAGATGTCATGATGTCATACTAACTGGACTGTTTTTCTAGCTGCAGTGCAGAAAGCATTTAACAATGCACAGCAGAAGCCTCCTCTATTACCCTGGTGTTATAAATTTCTTAGGAGCTGCACAGCATGTTAAACCACAGTAATAGACAATATTAAGCTGTGCAGAATATTGCTTCTATGCAAAATGTATTTGTTGAATATTTTGCAAATGTGATGAATTTATATGAAGATAAATTTAGGTTTTACCAGTTGCATGCTGTTTTACGCCTTTGATGCCTACAGCATGGTATAAATCTGGGACCAAAAAGTGCTGGAAGGGAGTTTATTTTCTTTGAAATGTGGTATGTACCAAAACAACATTAGTACAATATTCCATACTGATTTTGCCATTGCTTGTTTTCTTAACAACATTCAGTTCCTTTTTGTCTAAATCTGATTCATGGACAGTTTTAGTAGAAACCTGTCCAACTATTAAAAATGGTTCTAATTTCAGCTTTGGTCATACTTTCTGCATAACTTTCTGACAATCATTGCCACCTGTTAAAAAAGGGGTTTCATCAGTACATATCAAATATACATGTTTGAAGGTATAAAAAATTTACTTTTTTTTTCTTTTTTGGTCTCATAAATCTTGAACAAAAAAGTCTATTAGTGGATTTGATGAGACTAAGTTACTGATAGAATTTAAACTGAGAGAATGAATGTGTCCAAATTGCATGCAAAAAAAACCAAAAAAACAGTCAAGTATCCCTTTAGCACTGCTGCCTACTTGTGAAAGCAAAACAACAAAAATTCAGTGAGAGCACAACTTAAATACTGTCCTATTCTAGTAAACCTTTCAAGGCATCCTGAACAGCGGGCCGTATTACTTGCTTTACAGTAAAAACAATTTAAAAACTATAAAATAAGATGTTTTCTGTTTTGAACCAATCTAATAAATTCCTCCCTGTAGACTGTTAATGGCATTAGATTCCATACACTGTCTTTGCGACAACCCAGGCTGAAGCAAAGTATAGTACAGTAAATGCATGTATTCATGTGCCTGTGGGCTACAGCTGTGTATGTGTGGATGGAACGGCAAAGAAAGTATATGGAGATCAATGCAAGCAGATGTTCTCTCTGCACTTCAAACGCTCGCTCTGTTGTTGGCGCCGCAACGCTCCGACAGGCCTTGCGCAAGGGGGATCAAAGGCTAATGAGACAGCCATCGCACAAACGCACCCGGCAGACCCATGAATATTGATACAGCTCTGGAAAGGGAGAGATGGAGGCGAGAGGGTTTCTTCGCTCACTCGGCATCAGATTAAAGATGGCAAGGATGCGGGGGGTGGGGGAGCGGTGGTGCACTGCATGTAAGGGTGGCATAAGAGTTTAAAGAGCAGCAGATATATGGTCAAGAAGTGCATAGGATCATGACAACTCCGTTACATGGATAAAAATGACATAAAATGTGAACTTGACTCCATTTTAGCTTATTTATCCATAAGCCAGAGATCAGAATCTGACAATTGTCACTTTTTTTCTTTTTCTGTTGAGTAAGTAACTATTGAGTCAACTAGAAATCTTATTTTCTTTTTCTCAAAATGCCTTAAAATCTAAACCAACTTTTACTGTTGGGTATTAAGGGAGACACCATGATGGTTCCTGCTGCCTCACACTGTCGGGACAGATTATTTTTTTTTTTTAATTGTCAGGAAAACAATTTTTCTTTGTAGTTCTTTGCAGCTACCCCTTCCCTCCCCCCCAAAAAAAGAGGCAGCTTAAAGTAAACAATAGAACATCAATTTCTTATTTCAAATATCTAAAAAAAAATAAATGTATAAAATAAATCAGACCTGCCTTGGTCTTTTTCTTGTGCATAAAAAAAGATGTCACAAATGCATCCAGGATGTTCTGATTTCTTAGCAATCAGAATTAATACATTCATTTGTCTTTTAAACAGTATTGTAACATTATTTTTTATTTGACCTGTTCCCCTGCAAAACACTGCATTATGTAATCCTGCAGGTTGTTTTGTCTTGCAGTGCAGTTGACCTCCTCAGAGTCCTACACTATGATTGTCTTAGTGGGCTGCAACAACATGAAATGTCAAGTTTATCATCATCCCTAGCATTAAATCTGTCAGACAATGACAAGCTGATTCCCCCTCTGGCTAAGGTTGCAAAAAGGAAACTAAAAAAAGCCAAAGTTGACACCCAGGTTTCAGCATGCACAGAACTAAAGGTAAAGGAATAAAGGAATTGTTTTTCAAGGGCTGGGTGTCATTTCAGCCCTTTCTCGCTTGTCAGCATGCAGGCAAAGAGACATTGGAACAAGTGAGCCAGGCAGACCGATGGGGTGAGAGAGACTGATTTTTCTAGAGGCTGTCTAAAGCTTGTGGGCGATGCTGCTTCCATCTCGACTTGGGGTTGTAAATCAAGCCTCCCCTCGGGGGCCTATCTTCCATTCTCAGACCTTCACAACAGCTTGTTCTCCAGCCTGTGACGAGAGGGGCTGTTGTCACAGCAGCCATCGATCGTGTGGGATGAGTTTGTTGGACCGGGGGATTTTACCATCCGACCGTGGTCACTGAAGTGTCCCATCTTGTCTCTGTGTCTGTCTGTGGGCTGCCCACTCTGTCGAATGCCAAGTCACCACAAGCTATTGTCAGCGGTGTCTCACCTCGCTTTAGACAAGAAAAAGATCCACTAAATAAAAGGAAACAAAGAAAAAATGGCAGATGTTGGTTTAACTCGGATTTTGAAAGCAAAGAACATTCATACTGAGTACATAGTTTATAGTTGGTAATAAATAAGGGTAAAAGTCAAGGTTTGGGTGGTTGGATAGAAGCTTGTACAAAATTGTAACCTTTAAATGAATGGACAAGATAATCAAATGAAGCAGCTGCTAGTCACTAATTGGCAAACCTGCAAAGAAGCAACTTTAGAGTATAGGAAGCCTCACCTAAAGAGGCATCTATCCATCTAGTATAAAACAATTATAAGCTTAGTTAATTCATTCAGGGAAAACGAGACGCTTTTAAATAAGCCAAGAAAGATTACCTGACAATCAAACATCTGAAATGTATAGTAAATAGACCCAAATGAATGCACACTTAATACATTAAAAAGTTAATAAGAACCCAACAGCTAGTAATAACCTCCATCCCTTCAAAGGCAGACATGAACCTCATGCAATTAAGAAGATGGTGCAACACCACACCTATAGCCATGCTAAACTTAACAGAAAAAATATATATATTTTCAAAAGACTTAAATGAGTGAACACATTTTCTTTTCTTAATAGCTTTCCACTGTCTACATGCAAGCATTAAGGGATGAGGTGCCGCCCCTCCTGGACCTGTACTTCCAGTGTAGCAGGGTCTCACACTACTTTTCCTGCTCTTTCAACACATCCAGTCCTAATCCAGTCAATTGGTGGAAACAACAAAATGATCCTTTCCTCTTTGGGGGATTATTGGCTGCTTGTTGCTCATTTGGATTAGTAATATCATCTGAACTAATGCTAACAGGGTTATAAATATTTTAGGCCTTTTTTTATCTTCACTTGTACTTGAAAGTTACCCAGGATTAAAGCAAACCAGGTTTTTAACTGTCAAATAATTATTTTCTTGTGAATTCAAACATCTCAGACGAGTCTTGTCAAGGATGATAGTACATTGTAATTGGTACCCCCCAAACACCAGACTTCATTTTGTTGGTTTTTAGGCAAAATATGGTTGTTCCTTCATAGTCTTGATATATTTCACACGTAGTTGTTAAAAAATTAGCTGTATTTGGTCAGTCTGATTTTTGTCCCACTTTAGTCCAATAATAGACTGAAAAAACATAGCAAATCAAGTTTTCAACGTCTTTTCAAGAATTTTAACAATAACTCCTTTCACTCTTCAACCAAATGTAGGCGTTGTTTGGATGTAAATCATGTCCTATATTCAATGTCTTTTCAACCCATTTTTGCATGGTGGATAATAACTATTATTACAACAAAATGTTGCATTGAAGTCATTCTCTGCATAGATATCAGCTGACTGTCCCCTGAAAATAGAGAGGACTAGATCCGGGCACACTTGATTCTACGTACAAAATTTGAGAATCGTTGCCGTTCACTGGTACATCAATATTTCAAAATATATAATGATGTGATCCATCAATATTTCTCACTGCAAAATCTTTTCAGGCATCTTCATTAGTCAGATGACAAGATGCAGCTTGGTCAAGTTGTCTCTCCATCAGTCTTTTTGTAAATATTTTTTGTTGTAAAATACAGTTTCTTGATAGTTTGCTGTGATTTCTTACAAAGTGAAACTTAATTACAACACTACATTTTTTTGACAACCCCCTTTAACAGGCCGTCGATTCATTTCGATCTGTAAGACTAACTTAGTAAAATTTCTCTCAATATATTTTGAGGTATTTATGAAATCAAATTGAAGTTCCTCCATTAAAGACTTTCACTCGCATGAATTATCATGGCATTTTAAACAACTAAAGGTCAATATGTTCTAATTTATGCTTCTTGGAGCTTTTATTTAAAACATTTGATATGTATTTAAAGGCAATACCAATTACTTACTTTCTTTTTTTTTTTTTTTTTAGATGTCCTTTGGTTTATTAAAAACTAAAACTTAGCCGTATGGACCATTTATGCATTATTAGGTGAATAGATTGAACCCTGCAACCTAAGATCTCAACTTTAAGTCGGTGCAAGTATCACGTGTTGCTGCCAGGAACGACTGGTACACTTAATAAAATGAATTTCATCTCTTTAAAGGAAAAGTATGGAAATACTGAAGCAGTACTTTAAGACATCAGGCAATATGTTTTGAAGTTTAAACCCTCACGGCTCCTTCAGATGCAAAATGATGGCGTGTGGAAGGATACCCAAATTATTTCATCATACAAATTCAAGTCTGTTCGACCAATTATTAAAAACTATAAACTGATGATTTTTAGAAACTTTTCTAACATTTTGAAAACTAATTCTGATAATCCTGACCCAGGACTAATTTAATGTCAATAAAGACTTGAAGTTCATATTTTTATGCTGCCAATTTATGTGATTTTAACAGTCGGTTCTTTGGTTTAAAGAATTCAACATTTCACTTAATTTCCTTCCACATAGAAACGCCTTCACATTAATCCATTTGTCAGAGCTTCCATTAATGGTTATAATGTAGTATAATATTGCCAGCTTATATCCCTAAAACATTCCATCACAAAGTAAAACTTATTTCATTTTGCAGCACATAATAAAACTAGTGGATTGAACCAAGAATTTTATCAAAGTAGAGATAATTCACAGAATTAAAAGATGTGACCTTTTTGCAAATTAAAATAAGCTTCAAGAAAATCTTAAAAGCCAGTCAGGTGATGAAAACTTCAGAGCAGATTGTTACGACAACGTATTTTAATGACCATCGGGGACAGAAAATGTATTTAAATCAACTGGGAAGCAAATTAAATTTGAGTACTGGAACAAAAAGTTTTCCCCTCTGCTTTGATGGATTCTTTCTAATTCTAACTACTTTAAATCCAAGGAGATGAATTATTGCATTTTAAAAAGCCAATTAGCTGACACTTTCATGGAAATCAGCAAGTATTTGATTTTCCGATGTCAGTTTGAATTAAAAACGGAATAAATTACACAAATTTGACAGTACTAAAACCAAAGACACTGAATCCTTTTGGCATTTCTGTCAGGTGAATACTTAACAGGCAACTGTAGAATCCGCACATAAATTATCTTCTTTCATTATTCAATCGTGTATTTGCCAAAGTTGGTTAAAAATAAAAATTGGATTCTTATCTGTTTGGCATAAAAATATATAATGTAAATGTAAAATATTGGTTTTAAAGTTTACAGAAAATATCAAAAAACAAAGACATTTTAAAGCCTATTTAAATTCATTGGGCATTATATAAGAATTTATCTAAACTGATGAACAGAGTGATATTGCACCACAATGTCACCAGCATTTTTTTTCCTCCTCTGGCAATTTCAAAGCATTTCTTCATCTTGTTTCCTTGCCCTGAAACCCATAAGAACACACCCACTCAACCTCCCGGCCTGCTGAGAGCACTTGAAAGCAATTTTCTTTTAATCAAGTTTACTATAAAGGGTCCTCTGATGCCAGCCTCAGCAACACCTCCATTTGTTTCCCCCCCCAACTCCATCGTCCTGAATTATATTGATTTCTTTGAGCAGTGTAAAGTACTGTTTACTGAGAATTTGCTGTATTTATTGCTTGCTGTCTCCAGTGAGGGCATCACTTTTTCAAATGCTTAAATGCAGGTATTAAATTATTTTTCAAATATATTAATTTTGTCAAAACATCTGTAAATAGTTTCTAAAAAATTGCCTCATAATATGCAAAATTCCCACCTACAGAATTTAAACGACCAAATATGAAAGAAAGCAGCAAGGTAAATTTTACCTTTGCTGGGTAGAGATATGATTTAAATAATCAAACGGCATCTGTCAATTACATTTCACTTAAACCAACAGTTTATAATATTAACCTTTCATTTCTTAACTTTAGTGACTGAATTTGTGAAAAATATTATATTTGGGGTAAAAAAGCATACCAACATACAAAAAAATGGTTTAATAAATGACAACTGACCTTATTAAGGGAAACACTTTTATCTACAGTACTGACCACCATAATGTGTCCCCATTAGTTAACAATTGTTAAAGTGACTGATTATAATAAAATGTCACATTAAGATAAGACTAAATGCACAGATTTTCTATCCTTAATAAGAACACACTAAGATCTGAAAGTAGGTATAACTGCCTAATCTTATGGAGGACTAATCCTGCCAGAGATAGATGGATGGAAACGACTTAAAGGTAATCATTTTGATTACATGTCTTAAAAATATTTGAAAAAAATCAGATTATTGTTTGAAGTTCATGAAAGAATAAACAGACTGGCCTCAAAACTTCTCCATTTACAACTTACTCAAAATGTGTAGGAACAGGCTGTATGTAATAAATCTTAGAAGACAGTGGAAAGATGAAAAGACTTTGGAAAAAGAAAAACTCTAGGATGGACTGAATAATCTTGAAATGTTGTGCTTTTTACAGATCAAAAGAACAGAATGTACCAAGAGTGTTTCCTGTGACCGAACCTGAAGAGACCGGCTGTCCAGAACAGACAGGTGAGTCTCACTGTTCTACATTTCCTCTGAGACTCACTAACAACAATGCAAGAAAAAATGGAGTAGATAGTTATGTGTCAAAATGACCAGTAATGTTATCCTTAAGGTACTACATTCTTTTAACACTGCCTGTACATCATGTGTGGCTGGAAAAGTATTAAAATTGGACTCCAAGTTCCTGACTCCCATAAACCTCTTGGTTCATAATACTTTGATATTAACACAAGTAAACTATTTAGAAGTTAGAGGACTCTGGTTTCTGTACATTTTGAGTTTTTTTGTTCCCCCACAAAAAAGACAGGAAAGCAAGCTCCACAGATTCTGCTACAGAAACAGTCCCCTGGGTTACAAAGAGTGGGAACCGTTTTCTGCACCATATCACAAAGTATATAATTTTATGAAATGCATAAACAAAATGAGCGCAATTTTTCATATGGAATCATTAAACAAAACTGCAGCTTTTTTATTGAAAAATAGATTTGATTAGATCTGCAAAAGCTTATTAAAAGAAAATAACCCCCTTTCCAAGCAACAATGAAAAACAGTCAGCAGAACCTTTATCTGGAGTAGATAAACTATTAAAATTGCAACCTACACAGCTGCTTGCCTAATTCATTTTAATGAAACTCCCCCTCAAAATACAAAATGCTCAGCAGCTTAAAAAACGTTTTGAATCACTGAAATGTCAGAAATGAGAAAGCGGTATAGCCTTATATCTCCATGTGCATTATAATAGTGCCCTGCCTGTGCAGAGCTTTTTAATAAGGGCAAAAAGTATAAAAGCTTAGATTTTATTTATCAGTACGCCTTTTCTATTTTCAACTCCCAACCTGTATTTTGGTTTCTCTTTTCTCTGCGGCCTGATTTATTTTCGGAGGAAAAATGGTTTTCAGCAAAGCCCAGAGATGTACTGATAAACTGAGCCCTCTTTTTAGGTATAATTCAGACTTGAGCTAAAGGGCTGTGTTGCATTGGAACACACAGGTCAAGGGAAAATGAAACATAAATACCAATAGCATGAAGTAAAAAGTCTACATGACAATAGCCTGTAAAAGGGTGTGTAAACTGAGGAAGGCTGTTTGAGTTCAGTGAATGATGATAATTGTTATTAATATGTTGCACAGAACTGTTCTACTCTATTACTAAACCAAATCCTATATTAGTTAGGTGACCACCCGTGTGGTGTCAAAAAAAAAAAAAAAAAAAAAAATATATATATATATATATATATATATATATATATATATATATATACAGCCGACCAGTTAAACCACGGTATAAAACGGTATTATGAATTTCAAGAAACCCTCCTGACTTCTAAGAGGGGGGTTACTTGGTCGGTTACTTCTAAGACATGACAGGCCACCCTAACATGCAGTGCAGATAAGAGCAATAATCAGACGCAGCCAAGGAGGCCATTATTATTGCAGAGATGCACTGCTGATGTGAGGAAAATCTTTAAGGAAGAAGTAGCGACTGTGTCATCAAGAGAGAGAGAGATTTATCTTAACCTATACAGGTTCTGAGAAAAATATTAAAATGTGACTTATTTCTTCTGCCAAAATTTGTCAATTTCTATGTGGTTATGTGACAAAGCCCTTTTCCATAGAAAGGGTTGATATGTTTTTAAACCAGACAAGAAATTACACTCATCACCCGGACCACAAAATCCCCACAGAGGTGCAGCCTGGTGGCAGTATCGTGCTTTAGGGAGACCCTTTTTTTATGCGACTGGTAATCAGGTCAGAGTTAAACATGGCTGGTGGGACTCAATGCTATGAACCACTGGAAGAAATTCAGCTGGAGGCAGAAGCTTATAATTGGAGCAGAGGTTCAGCTTCTAGAATGAAAACAGCTTTAAACATACAGAGTTCAATTAGATGCTTTAGATGGAAGCATATTGACTTTATTTATCCGTCCAATGTTCAGAGAAGAACCTGCAATACCCGAACATTTCTGTTTAGCAACTTTAAGTGTAAGACATTCGTTACAATAACAAAATGCTTTTTTAATTTGATATTTGACACTTTCTGTCACACATAAAGGAAAATCCAAATATATTGTTTTTTATGGAACAGATTGAGGTGTATTAATAAACTACTGATTTGGAAACAGATAAGCTGTTGAGGGATCAAGAAGAGGTTTAAAAAATCAGCAATTGAGAACATCAACAACATAAACCTCTAGTCATTTATAAGAATTACATAAATGTTGAGTAAAGCTGGGCTCACTGTGCTCGATGCCGTCCCTGTTTTCTGCACCAAGGGGAATTTTGAGCTGTGTTCCCAGTATTTACTCCCTCAGATAGTCATACAGGGGAGGATGATGTGAGGAGAGTGAAATATCAGCTTCATAGAGGCTCAGATCTTGTGTTGTCAGGGTTTTTAACGATGCTATGCTCGGTGAGCTCAGGTTGCATCGTGTCGGCGCTGACCCTCATGGCCGAGCTCCGGTGGCACCTCCCCATCTGTGTTAATGAGATGACTCCGCTCCGTCTACGGGTCACGGTGATATTTACAGAATCCGTTGTTGCAGCAGAGATCCATGCCTCCCTGTGGCGCTCCCTCGCCTCATTTGCATTGCTTTCAGACCTTCCCGGCGTTTCCCTCTGTTTTATCGCTCTTGCTGAGCTCCTCGGTGATCGACAGGCTCCTTCACACTTCTCTTCAGTTTGTATCGCACATGTTAATTAAAGCCTCTAATTAGCTTTCTCCACTAAAAGGCCGCATTAAATCAGAGTTGGAATGGCAAATGATTCCTGGCATTAGCATAATTGTGTTTTTGAAGTGGAAAGACTCAGGCATTAGGGATTTTTTGTTTCAGTGATTTGTTGTTTGTGGCTCGGTGCCTAAGGGTCTACTGGAGGTTAGCCGGGTGTTTTTGGGGGGCCGAGGGACCCTACAGGGGCCCAACGCACTAATGAGGCCTGCTACACTCTGATGGAGCAGATATGGGGGAAACAACGCTGCGATGAGGTGCCGTGAGGTTGTGTGAAGATTGCATCAGTGGAAAAGGACACCTGTGGTGTCTGTTTCACAGAGGTTTAGAAAACTACAGCATCTGAAATGTTACCTTCACCTAGGTTCCCTGCTTTTACTTTTATGTATTTTTTATAACTTGCATCATGTAACGCTGATTCCAACAGTTTTCATTTTCTTAGGTTGAGTGCAGTGTAATACAAAACTATTCTTAAAGGAGACAAGTGCCAACTGTAGGAGTTTTTATCAATAAGCCAGGTTTTTGTTTTTCTTCACATTTTCACACTGATGGTAAAGAGTCTTTTTACTCTGATATTTGCAAAACTGACTTTTCTTTATTTGGAATAAATACAACTATTATTTACATGCAACACAAACGTAAGAAAATTAAATATGTCTCACATCTTGAGGTTAGGTGTTTACATGTGCTGAATAGGGTTATATGTAAAGTTGGGAATATATGATAAACTTTCCTCAGCCTCTTGCTATTGCTTAAGTTTTTCACACATAAACCGGCACCATTTGAATTATCAGCAAAGGAGGTTTTTTGCTTGATATTAAAACGAGAATCTTGCCTCAACGATCAAAGAAAATTGCTGAAAGTTTGAATGTATCAAGCAGATTATAAGCAGTCAGGCTTCAATTGGCGTAATCTCAATGGGATTTTTAAAATGCTACTCATCTACATCAAATAGATGCATTAGGGGGCTACGATTGGCTTGTATGTTAATATGAATGGAAATATATTCTAATCATCCTGTGTAAGCACAGCTAGTTTCAATATTTGATAAAATCTTTTAAGAAAAAAAAGTTTGAGGTCCTAACTACTAATCCTCAGATTTCTTATTTTAGCTTGCTGTGCAACATATGGGAACTTTTGCTGAGGAATGCAGCTAATGTGCTTTATTTTTCATGTATACTCCCCCCCCCCCAGGCAGTTTTACTGTAGTTATATAGTTTCTGTATATATTTAAATTTTTTTTATATCTTATACAGAAAATATGGGGAAAAAAAGACTAAAATTTATACTCTTCTAGATCTCTGTAGTATTTAGCTGTACTACAGTTTTAGCAATAGCCTCTATTCAATAACGAGCAAAAATTACAAGTGTGTGTCAGCATTTTCTTTATTTTTCTAGTTGCAACCTGCTGACAAAAACACGGCTACCATCTCCACATTGTTTTTGCTGTTGAAAGCGCAAAAAAAACCATTCATTCCTAAACTATTAATGGTAGTTTAGCTTAAGATGAACAACTAAGAGTAAAACATGGAGGGTGTCAGGAAAAGTACGAATTACAAGAATTTTTTGCCTAGCACTGTTTGAGCCATTCCCAGAACCATCTTCTAAATTTTGATGTAGATTTCGACTTCCCTGCCAACTGCTACTTAAACAAAGGTTGCACACTGAATTAATGTGATTTTAGTGTAGATGTAGATTAAAATATTTTAGAAAATTTGAATAAATACACCAGGGCCTTTTAAAAATATTATTAACAGATACGTCACCCCTAATGGTGCTGCACTCCAGAAGTTTAAAATTTCAGTTTCTGTACAGCAAAAAATGTTTTTATTAAAGGCAATTCATTTGAGGCAGCACCTTGTCCCTAACCTTTAGGAATGCTCAGAATTGAGCATTTTCCCCATCTCAGTGCAGGGATGGTAAGATTTTACATTTTAGAAGCTGATAGGGCTCCATTATTGACTCTGAGAAGAACACACTTTATTTTTAATTGCTTTCAAACATTTGACTGGCACTTTATGCCCAATGATACTGAAGTATCAAAACCAATTTACATACTGCAGTTTCTAAGATCACAAACCTCGATGTGCTTCCATGTTTTTTCCTCTCAATTCTGCATGAATTGGCTTTAAGCTTCTACAGTTTCTGTTTGTTCTTAACAGTCTTTTGTCCATCTGCTCTGAAACTGCTAATCCACCCTAAAAAAAGAAAAAGAAAAAAAAAGATGAAAAATAAACCCCAAAGGTCAATAAGCCTCCATGCGACAGCTCTGTCAAGTTGGT